AAATATGTTTTAATATACAAACAATATACAATTTACAATAACAGTTATTACAAATAGTTATTACAAACAATGATTTATAAACAAAAGTTTCACAAACAAGCAATATAAAGTATTCTTTCTATTCTGGAACTTCTTCGATATCTTATCGAAGGTTCACGATATGAGAGTTAATTTGAGTTGACTTAGGCACAATTCACTTAACAGGAAGCTAGCTAGCTTTTTAGTCTTCACTAATCATATGCTTATTAGAGATTGAGTTTTCACCGATGACATTAGGTAATGTTTTCTTAAAAATATTAATGTCCGATGTGAATACACTGAAGTTAAATGGTTTGTGGTTCGAAATTTATAAATATTCTTGGTCAAATATCTGAAGTTTTCCGATTGATAAGCATTATAACAATCACAGTTATAGATTCTGAAGTTTATAGCTCACTTTAGCACTTTGGTTATATTTATAGCCTTTTAAAAAATTCAGTTTACATAACATTACAAATTTAAGCATTTACGTACACACATATATTGTTGATTCTTACTCTCAAGAATCTTCTACAACTTTAGAGAAGAGGCAGGAGTTTTGCAATACATATCTAACACTATAAGCTATGCATGTTTCTAAATATAAATTTAATCTAAATAAACGTCTATATTAAAATAATTATATAACAATAAATTCTTTACAACTCTCTTCTTGGAGAATTAAAAATTGGCATTAGACAATTTTAAACTAAGATTTTATATATACATACATACTAGGTCTGATGCTAAATAAATGTTATGAAGAGGAACATTAATAAAGCCACCCTCAATACCCTGAGCAATAACAGACTCACCAGTGGCAGAACTCGATTCTAAAGGCAAAATACCTTTTAACAACAATGATTGAGTCACCCCAGTATCATGTATAATACGTATGGGTATGGGACTGGCAGTGCCATTTGTCAAAGGCACAGAACCAACAAACACAAAAGGTATAAATTCCTCTCTGATTACATCAGCCTTTATATCAGTGGCCAAATCAACAACACTGGGTGATCTGGTGAAACTACGTCCATATGTGGACACAAATGCACTGGGTGTAGCCTCCTTTTCCTTTTTATTCTTCAAACACCAACAATCGGACATAATATGACCAGGTTTTTCACAAAAATGGCAGACAAGCCTTCCTTGATTGTTTTAAAGAAGTTTTATCCAGACTGTCAGAAGATTTCCAACTAGGGGAGATGGATTTTTTCTCAGAAGAATCTTCAACCTTAGTGGATTGAACAGATACAGGTTTTTGTTGAAATGGTTGGAATTTCTTTTTATGAAAAGTGGTTTTATGTGTTAAAGTTTAGTTATCGGAAATAGTGGCTGCTTCGTATAGTGTTTTAACTTTCTCTTCATCTAAGTAAGTTTTGAGGTCATCATGTGCACAACGTTTAAATTCCTAAATTAGACATAAATGTCTTAGTTTGTCGAAACTGTTGCCAATATGCATAGAATTACACCGTCAATCAAAATAAACCTCTTTTTCATCGACAAATTCCACATAAGTTTGATTATCTTGCTTGCGATAACCTTGAAACCTTTGGTACTAACTCTTATGCTTTGATAATAGCTCATACAATCTTCTAGAGAGAGAGCGGCATAAGCTTCTTGTGCTTTGCCAGTTAAAACACTTTGAAATAATAATGACCATTTTTCGGTGGACCATTCCATGGTTTGGGAAACCTTCTCAAAATGTTGGAAATATTTATCAACTTCATTTTCATTGAATGGTGGTACTTTAACATATTGATTAAGTTCAAAGTTGTCATTTTGGCTTGGTTGATCAGTGTTGAGTCTAATTTCCAATTATTTCACTCTAATTTCTTTTTTGGCTTCGATGCGAGCATGTTCTTTCTCTTTCTCGTCTTCTATTCAAGCTTGTTCTTTCTCTTTCTCGGCTTCAATATGAGCTTATTCGGCCTCAAGGCATTTATTTTTTCTTTCAGCTTTGATACAAGCTTCTTCAAGCTTGATTTGTTTGAGTTTTAGCTGGATATCTAATTTATATTTATCACTCAACCCCGATTGGCTAGTAGGGACACTAGAGTATTCCTCCAATGCTTCTTCAGGCAACAAATCATCATCGACTAGTATTTCAATAATACAGTTTTTTAGTTCATGTTTTCTCATTGACCTTTTAACTTTTAGTTCTAAAACTTTGGCAATTTTGAGCAATTTATTTTCATTATATTTTTCTAGTTGTTCTAGGGAGGGTGATAGAAGAAAATCTTGATAATCAGACATGATCCAATCTTGTTG